CCGAGCCGGCCGGACCGGCCGCGCCCGTCGCGGGGGTGTCGCGATGACCGCGGTCGAGACCACGGACGCCGGCAGCGCCGCGTCGGTCGATCCGCTCGAGGACACCGATCCGCGCCGGGTCGCCGAGCACGCGCACCTCGAGGCGCTGCTGCGCTGCTGGTTGACCGAGAACGACGTGGCCGTCGGGACGGGTCCGCTGCGCGTCGAGCTGCGGTCCACCCGCCTGGCGCTGGTCACCGACGTCGTGCACGCCTCGCCGACGGGATGGCACCGGTTCGGCACGGTCCGCCTCGAGCGGTCGGCGCCGGGCGGGAGCGAGGTGGTCGCCGAGCACGCCGACCCGGTGCTGAGCGCCGGCCTGCTCGCCGCCGAGGTCGGCGCCCGGCCCGGAGGAGTCCCGTCGGGGGAGACCGCGGACCTCGTCGAGCGGACCGCCGAGTCGGTCCGCCACGTCGCGGCCTTCGTCGCCGACCGGCGGGCCGAGGCGCCTCCCGACGGTCACCGCGACGGGTTCCTCGACGCCGAGCAGGCGCTGCTGCTGGGCCACCTCAACCACCCGACGCCGAAGAGCCGCGGGGGGATCTCCGCGCACGAGCGGGCGGCCTGGTCGCCGGAGATGCGCGGGGCGTTCGCCCTGCACTGGTTCGCCGCCGACCCCTCCGTCGCGTCCGAGGGCGCCACCGACGCCGGGACCGACGTGGCGGCTCTGCTCGCCGAGCTCGCCGGTCCCCGGGGCCCGCGCGACGGCCGGGTCCTGGTGCCCGCGCACCCCTGGCAGGCCCGCGACCTGCTCCACCGGCCGCGCGTCGCGAGGCTCGTCGCCGACGGGCTCCTCGAACCGCTCGGCCCGCTCGGGGCCCCGTGGTCGGCGACCTCGAGCGTGCGGACCGTCTACCGCGGCGACGTCCCCGTGATGCTCAAGCTCTCCCTCGGCCTGCAGCTGACCAACTCCAAGCGCGAGGCGATGCGCGTCGAGCTGCGGCGCGGGGTCGAGGTCGACCGGCTGCTGCGCGGCGGCTACGCCGACGCCACCTTCGCGGCGCACCCGGGCTTCACGATCACCCGCGATCCGGCGTGGCTCGCCGTCGACACCCCCCGCGAGCCGGGCGGGCCGGAGGTCACCGGGCTCGACGTCTCGGTCCGAGAGGTCCCCGACGGCGCGGGCGCGCTGCGCTGCCTCGCCGGTCTGGTGGCGCCGCGGCCGGGGCTCGGGAGCAGCGTGCTCGGCGGCATCGTCGACGGGCCGCACGCCGCGGCGACCTGGATCGCCAGCTACACCGATCACGTCCTGGTCCCGATGCTCCACCTCCACGCCTCGTCGGGGCTCGGGGTCGAGGGCCACCAGCAGAACACGCTCGTGCGTCTCGGCCCCGACGGTCTGCCCCAGGGGGCCGCCTTCCGTGACAACCAGGGCTTCTACCTCCCGGCCTCGCGACACCGCGACGTCTGCGCCCGGCTCGGCGTCGAGGAGTCGGCCCTGGCCGTGGTCGACGACGAGCTCGTCGACGACCGGCTGTCGTACTACCTGCTGCGCAACCAGGCCCTCGCCCCCATCGGATGCCTCGGCGCCGAGGGCCGGGCCGACGAGCGCGACCTGCTCGGCGTGCTCGCGGAGCGGTTGGAGGCGGCGCTGCCGGGCCTCGCGGCCGCGGGGCCCGACGGCGACCGCCTCGCCCGTCGCTGGCTCGGCGCCGACACCCTCCCGATGAAGGCGAACATGATGACCCGGCTGCACGGGATGGACGAGCTGCTCGCCCCGCTCGACGCGCAGTCGGTCTACCTCGATCTCGCCAACCCGCTGCGTCGGGCCCGACGGTGACCCCGGCCGAGCACGACGCCGACCCGCTGCCCGGACCTCCGCTGCCGCTGGTCGACCCACCGTGGGCGATCCGGGTCGTCGACGGCGCCGACGACGTAGCCCTGGTGCACGGCTGGCAGCACGAGCCGCACGTCGTCGCCTTCTGGCAGCAGGACTGGTCGCGCGCCGAGTGGCAGGCGAACGTCGAACGTCAGCGCGACGGGGACCACTCGCTGCCCTGTGTCCTCACCCGCGACGGCGACGACCTCGCGTACGTCGAGGTGTACCGGGTGGCGCGCGACCGGCTCGGCGAGCGCTGGCGTGCGGAGCCCCGTGACCTCGGCGTGCACATCGCCATCGGCGACCGGGCCCGGACCGGTTCCGGGCTGGGCCGGGAGGCCCTGCGCGTCGTCGCGGCGGGCCTGCTCGCCGCGGACCCGGCCTGCCGGCGGGTCGTCGCCGAGCCCGATCGCACCAACGAGCCGTCGCTGCGGGCGTTCGCGGCGGCCGGCTACGTCGCGACCGGGGAGGTCGTCGCCTTCCCGGAGAAGAACGCATCAGTGATGATCTACCCCCGGGAGCGGACATGACCGAGACCGAGTACGACGTCGTCGCCGTCGGGTGCGGACCGTTCAACCTCGGGCTCGCCGCCCTCGCCGACGGGGTGGACGACCTGCGCGTCGCGGTGTTCGACCGCGCCCCGGAGCTGCGCTGGCACCCGGGGGTCATGTTCGGCGACGCGATGCTGCAGGTGAACTTCCTCGCCGACCTGGTCACCCTGGTCGACCCCACGCACCGGCTGTCGTTCCTGGCCTACCTGCGCGAGGCGGACCGGCTCTTCCCGTTCTACGTCCGCGAGCAGTTCCACCCGACGCGACGCGAGTACGAGGACTACCTGCGCTGGGCCGTCTCCGAGCTGCCGTCGGTGCAGTTCGGCCACGACGTGGCGTCGGTGGCGTGGGACGCGGCGGCCGGGTGCTTCCGTCTCGAGGTCGTCGACCCGGACGGCGCGACGGTGACGGTGTCGGCGGGCGACGTGGTCCTCGGCATCGGAACCGAACCGTTCGTCCCGTCGGCGCTCGCGGGGCTACCGGACGAGCGCCTGCTGCACTCCTCGCAGTACCTGCACCGCCTCG